AGAGAGAAGGGAAGATATCTCCAGTTTATTGATGTGTGGACTTACCCACATCTTCCTCTGTGCTGCCTAGGGGAGTCTGTGTTCTGTTTTGGGGAAGCTTATCACTGTTTCCTCTGCTTACTCACAGATTGTCACACACTATCAGGTCATTTGTCTTACAGTGGAGCCTCACTCCTTACTCCTCAGGGCCTCAGGAAATCTGCCATGCATCCAGAGTTTTCCAGAGGCAGACTTGTGAGTATCACTTTCAGGGAAAGAAGAGCCATCTTTTTCCAACTGGGTGATGCTAATTTGCCTTGACTGTGGTGCTAATTCCTCGGGCTCTCCTTTCTGAGGTTTTAAGACCTTTTTCATTGCAGTTTGGTTCAGGATGGTGGATGCTGCTATCATAGTCTAGGGAGAGAGGAAGGCTGCATGTTGCACACACTGAATACTGGGTAATAATGGGTGCTGAGCCTCCAGCACACAGAAGAAGGCAATGGCGACTACCTTGCATAAGGGAGATAGGATGACATGGTTTTGTCTGCCCAGGCCCCATGCTCTGTCCCTCAGGTTGGCTACATGAAGGATCCTATCTACATCCAATGGATGTATTACCTGTGACAGGTAGTAAAGGAAGAAGAATGAAGTGTACAGTCCTATCCCAGAGTTCCCAGCAAGAGCTATGGCAGACTAACTTCTCTGGTCTGCTCCTGGTGGGATGCTTCCTCACAGCCTCTTTCTAGGTCTATGGACATCTATCCCAGGGTCACTTGCTTCAGTCTGGAAAAAAATACGGTCTTTTACAAAGTCCTTACCTGCATTCTGTGGACTTAAGACCTCAACAAGCATTAAGGTCTAATTAATTTACTTATGTTCTATTCAACAAATGCTGCTCCTACATTTTCTAACATATCTCAAAAACAGATCACAACAGCTGACCACTTAGGCCAGTGGACTGTGAATTAAAAAGATGCACTGGTCAATTTGGTGGGGAATTTGTGTGGATTCTTGACCACTCCCCCTCTGCCTGGGTAATCCACAGACCACTGGCTTGTTGGGAGGCTGCGTGGATGCAGGCTGCCACTTATCACCAACTACAGTGACTACTTGGAAGGTGATTTTCCCCTGGCCTCTCTAGCTCATAAAACTAACACAAGAGGAACTTAAGCCAAATCTTACTTGACTTTCCTGACTAGGTGAGTTATCCACCCATTTACTGCCATGTTTCTCAAAGGACTTAACTTGGGTGGTGTAAGTTTCCTCGGGGAATCCTTGTACTGAGCCTGCATCTCTGGATTCCAGTGGGTGGGGTGGGAGTGACAAGATGTTTCTTCTCAGTGCATTTCAGTTGTAAGTATGTGCTTATATGTGCATGCAGTGCTGAGATCAAACCCACATGGGAGCCTGATGGTAGCGTATGACATAGGTCAGAGAACTCTACAGGAATACCTCTTATGTGAGAATGTTGTGTCTTTCTCTTTTTGTAAGGGCCACCAGGTTGGAACCTTGTCATCCAGTATGTGAAAGTAAGATGATAAAGATGAGATGAGTCTAGAGGGACTTGGTATATGGCTTGAGGGTAAGAACACTCGCTCTGCAAACATAAGAACCTGTGTTTAATCTCCAGTGCCCATGTAAATGGTTGGCCATGGCTTTATAGGTGATTCTGACCATGACATTGTGGAGCAAAGATGAGTGGATCCTGATAGATAAGCCAGTCTAGCTGAAATGAGACTCTAGGTCAGGAAGAGACCCTGTCTCCAAGGCCATAAGGAAGAGAACAATGGAGGAAGACATCCAACAACAGGCATGGGAACCCACACCCACATGCGTGTACCATACATACACACACCACACGCAACACAAACACACATAGATACATCAAAGACAATGAGAAGAGCCCTTTTGACTGATCTAGCTACTGAAGTAACTTAGCTACCTCATTATCAAAATCTGTCATGTAGAAAGCAGATTCTGCACGCACATTAGAAAGACTTCAAGGAGTCATGTGAGCTACTAAAATTAGCTACTGTAAGTAACTCTCTAGCATCATCTTCCTTGCTTACACAGGTCACTAACAAAAACTAACAGAGACCACCCATAACAGGAGCTGAAACTTGTGCTAGTTCAAACTTACTTGTGTGGGTAACATCCAAAGATTTCCAGGGCCCAGATTTCATAGAATTGTGAATTTATGCAAACCACCAGCATTTCGAGGTTAGTGGTGCAAGGAATAAACAGAGGAAGGCGAACAGATAATTCCAGCTGTGTAGCAATTTGGAACAAGTACTTCTATCTCAGATTAATAAAATGGAAATTGTGCTTCTAGAACTATGTTACTTCCTGTTAGTGCCAAATCTCTTTTGCATTTGTATGATCAAAAACTCATAATCCTATTGAATGCACACAAAATTGGGTAATAAACTTTTCCAAGTGTTATTGTCAGTGTCTGCTCACCAATACCAACACAGAGGGGAAGCAGTATGCATAGGAGCCATTACAATGTTTTAAGCTCTTGATTCTCCTCCATTTTTTTTTTCAGTGTTAAAATACATGTTCAAATTAAGCATTTAACAGTATTGGATAAAATAGGCACATATGAGCAAAATCATAATCTGATTAGCTATTTTATGTATAGGAAAAACAGAATTGTTGCCATTTTGTGATTTGTGTTTTAAGATCTGAAGAAAAGTTTGCCTATAGTTCTGCAAGAAAACTAATTTTGCTTTTGTTTTCTTTTGCAGTACTGTGTTTCTACTGTGAAGTGAAGGGGATTGGTATGCTGATATCACCAAGGACTGAGGATGAGGCTGCATTGGGGGTGGGGCGTGGGGGTGGGAGACAGAGAGATTCACAGGAACTGATAAGCCCACACTAATTTGTATTTGCTTCCTCATCCCCAGATTGCCATAAGACAGACCACAAAGAGAATCCCATAAGCTAGCAAACAGCACAAACATAAACTCTGTCAGTGAATTGAAAGGCAGCACCTTAGAGAAATCTCAAGAGTAACTGTTTTCATGAGAACATTAACTTGGTGCACGCACTGTCAAGGGTGTTCGTTTATGAAGCCTTACCATAACAGACTCAGACACTGTGAAGCAGAAGAAGCCAGAAGAGAGAGCAGGACCCTCCAAATTCTGGATTTCAAAATATTCATCTAGAAGAGATGGAAAGCCTGGTCCTTAAAAGGAGTGCATAGTTCTTCAATAATAAAACAGCCAACATTTTTCTCCTTTTAAATTTGCTCCTGGATTTGTAATTTAAGAAGTTCCCTCAACTTCTGAACCTGTATGTCAGGCAGTTGTGGAGTCCTACAGACTGGAAAGGCTTGGGGAGAGGTGAGATGTGGGGAATGGCATTCCGTATCACAACCCCCTACTCAACATTCCTGCATTAGGTATGTGCCAGTTGCCTACCACATGTTTATCATATAGATTATGCTTATACCTCTTAGACAATGACAGAAACCAGACATAATTCCTTTTCTGTCCTCACACTGGAGATGAAAGAAAATTTGTAATCGTTAAAGACAGGTACCTGTGCCACAAGAGCTTAGGTAATGCTGTGCAACACTCTGGTATTTAGAGAGTTCCATGCCAATCTTAGTTTAGTGACTTGATTCATTTAATTCTACCTCCAAATCTCTAGCATTCTGCATTTTAGAGACATAGACATAGTATTCTGTCCCCAGCACTGTTTTTCCTTTAATGCCAGCATAGAGAAAAGAAAGAAATTTAATCCATGAGGATGATCAATTTGCTAAAGGAAAGGGTTGAAATTTTTCTTACAATTAAAAAAAGCACATGAGTTTTCACCTTAAACAGAAGAGAAAGGGGCAAACAACACGGTGATATGGGCAGACACACAAAGAGGAGGGATAGAAAGAATGGAATGTCATATCTCCTGCAGTATTAAATTTTTAATCTCTTACCAGGGCAGGCAATTCCTCTCTGTCAGACAGTATCATCCCAATGCAACCACCCAATATCCTTCTGGCTCCCTGTGACCCACTAAGTTGCTCGGGGTCATATGCTCTCTTCCAGAAATCTGAGTCCACTGCACTGTGTGTTTCAAGGGTGAAGCAGAAGCTAGGTTATTCATTTCATGGCCCCCATTCCATCCCCTCCAAGGTTACAATCTCTCCCTTTTCTCTTCCTTAAAAAAGTATGACTTCCAACCACATGCACGTGGCACATAGACATAGCTGTAGGCAAAACAACCATATCCATAAAATAATAAAAAAGGGGAAAAATAAAATATGAATTCCAACACATGCTGGTAAAATCCATGACTGAAATATGCTTCATTAGAAGAGACAATAGAATCTCATGGTTTTATATGAATTTGAGTAAACAGAATGCCTCGGATATGAAAATATTCTGACATTTATCCCAAGGTTCTAAAATTCCCAAAGATTTTTTTCCGATAGGAAATTTTAAAGGGGGAGGGGAGGAAAGAGATTACTAAAAGTAACAGGAGACAGACTTCAACAATATTGAAAAAGACTACAGTTATGAAAGCTCTCCATCAGTATTGAGGAACCCTGCTGGTTTTAAGTGAAGCTCCTTACTCCAATGTGATGGTGGCACTCATACACAAGGGCCCAGAGAAAGTGATTAAATAATACTGTGTGTGCTCTAATGCATGTGCAAACATTTGGCTGAGAATATGTATGCTTTCCCACATTAGTGTGGGGCATTCCATAGGCCTACCATAAGGCTCCATTATGCGGAAGGATCCACTAGAGAACTCCCGTTATGTGGCAGAGCTGAAATATCTGCAGCTTTTATGCAGGCAATATTCCATTTTAAAATGTTTTCCAATCTGGCTCCGAACAACCCCCTCTGTGAACCAAATGTGTTCGTTACCAAATATTCTCCATGGTTTTCCTCCGAGGACCAAGGCAGCCTCCAGGTGTTAGTAATGGTCTATTCAGACAAAAGCCAGCAGTCACCCACTCTTAACCCAAGATATGCTTTCTCCTTTCTCTACTTTGCCTTCACAGCCTTCATCCATCTGCTAATTATATATTTGTAAATCTCTCCTTTTATCTCCCCAACAGATGCATGCTGTGATGAGAAATACCGGAGCACGAATTAGAAGCAACGATGGTTATCAGCCTCATAGAGGCGGATGGGCTTCCTCCCATCCCGCCCTGGAACACATGGAATGCCAGGGAATGGTTGGCTGGGGAACTCTTCCACAGTGTCACAAGCACTGGAAAAGAGAATGCAAGAGACTGATGAGCAAATCCTGGAGCAAAGCAATCTGCTACCTCCTGCCTCTCAGAGAGGGATGCCTGGCCTGGTGTGGTAAGTCCCAGGGCTTGAGAGGAGGTAAAGAGAACAGGATGTGAGGAGGCCAGGGCAGAAGGGCAAAGAGAGACTTAGAGGAGCATCACAGTCATTCCATTAGCAGAATATTCTCTTGAACTCAGCCCAGCTTCCATGTTGCTGAAAAGTCATCATTTTCTACAAAGATTGGTATAAAACATACAGAAAAGAGTAAGAAAAATGGAAAAAGAAACGAGGAGAGACAGTAGCTTGAAAATTGTGAGTCTGATTCCTGCTTTTGCCAGATGGAGTAAAACATTTAAAATCATGAGCAGGTATTTTGAAATTGGCCATTCAGACTTCTTACAGACAGGCCTGGTCCACAGTCCGGTCAGTGGGAGGTATACACGGACTAATAGCACTTAGGGACAATGGCCTTTCAATGGCCATCAGGTACCAGAGCTTCTAAATTGGCCAATTTCATGTGTCAGAAGGGCAAAAGATACACAATCACATAAAAAAGACACTTTAATCCAGTCATTATAAAGGAGGGACAGAACAGAGTGGTGGCTGTGTGTTTATGGGTGTATCTGTAATTTCAAAGAGGTTCATTCAGTCAGAAAGATTGTTTCCAGTCTACCAGAAAACACTTCAATAAGCTGGAATTACAACCCCCAAATCTGCCTTTAATTTTTTTTTTTCAGGTTAAAAACAAATACAGAGTTTTCCTTAGCAATAGTTCCTTTGCTGCCTAAACACCAAGGAATATGTTTCCTGTTAAAGCCAAATCTAAAGTTTGTTTATCTCCTAGTACACAAGCATGGTGACAGAACCGGGTTTCCATTTTCCCTTTTCACTCCCTTTTCTGCAGCTGATCACTGGCCTGAAATGATAAGCCTGGGTGTAGTAAGACTCCTAGGCAGGTGGATTTCTCTGAGTTTAAGGATAGCCCAGGGCTACCTAGTGAGAACCTGTTTCAAAACACAACCAGGAAAACAAAACCAGAAAAACCAACACAGGGATGAAAGGAGAGACGCTTTGTTTCCTTTCTCATCTTTTCCTCGCCTTCCAAGCTCCTCCTCTCCTATGACATCAGCTCCATCATTACCGTGTGCTCACATAATTTGTGCCTCGTGTCTTTGCAGCATCTGATTTTTTTTTGTTTACTGTGTATTAAGTGTGCAAATGACACTACAGAGGAAAAGTTGGGCAGAATGGTAGCTTAATAGGCTTAATTTTGACATTGCCACTGCTGGAAAACAGCATCCAGACATCTGATGTGACTGAGTGAGGGGGGTAGAAGACATCAGAATGTCCAGATATCAAATTAGAGGACAGGGCCATGCTCTTAAATCCTCAGCCCTCTCCATGCATTATGTGAATTGAGAATGCCAACAGGAAGTAAAGCTGTATGACAGTGAGACAATGATCCTATAACCTACCTCTTGCTTTACCTGGTAAAAAGTACAAGAGTACAAAGTATTGCTTTGGACACAACACTGTTTGTTGAGAAACATAAAACTTCCTTTGTTACACTGTATAATTATTTATTTTCAGTGCACTTAATTTGTGGAAATTCTTATGAATAAAAATAGTGTCCTGGAAGCTAGCTATGCAAATTTTAATGTACCACATATTAAAAATTAAGAGATTTAGCTTTGGTCCAGTGTCTGCAGAACATTGCAGTATTCTGGGAAATAATTTGTTCCTTACAGATCAAATCTAGATGTGGGAAGGCCACTAGAGAATCACTAAGATTTACTGCTTAAACTGCACTGCTAGAACAATTACCTCAATAATGTTTGTATCAAAGAGATTTCAGACAAAACACGTTAAATTCCAAAATAAATGTGTGTGACCCAGTGTTTCTTGATGTGTTTTCTGTTGCTGTGGTAAGTACCTCAAGAAAGCAGTTTTAGAAAGGAAGGGTTTATTTTGCCTTACAGTTCTGGGGTGCAGTCCATTGTGTCTGGGGTTCACAGTTGCAGGAGCTTAAAAGAGATCACATTAGACCCACAGTGAAGAAGCAGAGAGCAATGAAAGAACAGTAGTGCTCAGCTCACTTTCTGTTTTATACAGTTCAGGGTCTCTTGTGCAAGGAGTGGCCGCACCCACAATTACAATGGACCTCCTCATATCAATTGATGTAATCAATATGATCATCCGCACACATGCCCAGTGGCCCATCTCATGGGTAACTCTGGATTCTGTCAGGTTGACAATACTAACCCACACATTCTGTGCCTTCTCTAAATGGCTCTAAACTGGCAGTTTTTTTTTATAAATTAGCCTCCTCTTCTTCTAAAACCCGTGGTTACCTGTTTTCACCACTTCTGGGGACTCATGGAAGACACAAAGAGGTGATTCCATATGGAGAGTGAATAGCTTTCTGTTCAAGTTGATGGGGTAAGAAAATAAGCCTAGTTGCATCGGATGCTTAGCAATACAGGCTAGTTCCATCGACCAATCCTTTTTAGTTGTAATTTGGATACTTTGGGACAGTCCAATAGGAAGAGAAGCAAGCACTCCCCTAACACATGACTGAACTGTTAGTAAAAAGAGCACCTTAATGTGGCCAGGAGAGCAGGAATCCTTACAAATAAGTAAATACATTAAATTAAATAACTGAATGAATGAATGAATGAATGAATGAATGAATGAATGAATGAATAAATAAGTAAAGACTCCTCTAAAATCTGAAAAGCCAGGGCTCAAGACAGAATCATGGGCCCTTCTGTCACATATTTCTCTTTTAAATTTTTGTTTGTTATTTAGACAAGGAGACCCTCAAATTTTTGTTATCAGTCTTATAGCCAGAGTGGCATAGCTTCTTTGTATTGGGGAAAATACAAACAGCTATTAGATTCTGGAAGAAGTAAAAGAGGGAGGAACATGAGGAGATGTAGACAAGTATGACATGACACTGTCCCTTCTTACCAATCATAGTCCTGCTTAGCCAGCTAGAACCTCCTTTTCCATCCAGGGATGAACCAGCCCACAATGTGAAGAACAAGTAACACACAGATAACACACAAGTAACACCCAGTGTGGCAGCAGGAAGTCCACATAGATGCCCACTCCATTGCTCCAGGTAGTCTCCAGCATTTCTTTCCAGCTTGCCTCTTTCCACTCTCGCCTGTGGGATAAACACTGCTCTAATACATTATCTTTAATTGAAGGACAACTTGAGACAAGTTCTGTAATGTTGGGACATTCTTTGTGGCTAAAGCTAGCTTTGAAGAAAGTGCTGCTGAGATAGAATATCAGTGTTACACAACTTATGTTGGCTTGTTAAGGTCATGATGGAACACTAAGCAAGTGGTAAAAAGACTGCCTTCACACTGGATTGGGATGGAATAGGAGATGAACCTTCTGGAATGCCCTGGGTCCTATGGCTTTGCATGACAACAGGGCCCTGCCAGTCAGTCTCCTGATTGAATAACAACTGTGTCTCTTTCTCCAACTGCACATCAACCTACAGACACAGTGGCTTAACTCCTAGAGATGACAGCTGTTCTGGGCAGCAGGATGGCTCATCAGAATGTGCCTATAAGAGCAAGCACAGCTGGGCTGCCTTGTCAACAAGTCCTGATTTCCCTCCAGGGTCCTGTTCTCTACAGGTCTCTAGCTCTGGTTCCAGCTCAAATCTTACCAGCCCTCGCTAGCTAGTTCCCTGCTTACTCTCCTAGAAAGAAAGAGCTTTCAAAGACCCAAAACCTCACAACTGTGGCATCTGGAGCTTCTCTTCATTGATATGGTCCCTCCATGGCATGGCTTATGACTGACTAAGCCTGTCAGTTAATCTCTGATTCTCCATTCTCTCCACTGTGGAAGTCAGTGGTGACTAAAGACCAAGGCCTACACTCCTCAGTTCTTTCCCCCTTTGCTCTCAAGTTTCTCTGGCTGCTGGACCATCTCACCCACATCTCTTTCTATCACCCTGTTAACCACTACTGGAGAGTAAAGCAACTATCTCCTCATTATACTATTTTGTAAATCCAAATCAAGACCACAGGAGTAAGATGAAGGGAAAAAAAGAAAAGACAAAGGAAGGGAGAAAGGGAAGGAGGGA